GTAACTGGTCACACACCTGTCTGTTATTGGCATTTGTCTTACTACATGGGTCCACACAGTGATGGTCCTGTGACTGAACACACACCCGTCTATTTTTGGCATATGTCTTACTACATGGGTCCACACAGTGATGGTCCTGTGACTGGTCACACTCCTGTCTGTTATTGGCATATGTCTTACTACATGGGTCCACACAGTGATGGTCCTGTGACTGGTCACACACCTGTCTGTTATTGGCATATGTCTTACTACATGGGTCCACACAGTGATGGTCCTGTGACTGGTCACACACCTGTCTGTTATTGGCATATGTCTTACTACATGGGTCCACACAGTGATGGTCCTGTAACTGGTCACACGCCTGTCTGTTATTGGCATATGTCTTACTACATGGGTCCACACAGTGATGGTCCTGTAACTGGTCACACACCTGTCTGTTATTGGCATATGTCTTACTACATGGGTCCACACAGTGATGGTCCTGTAACTGGTCACACACCTGTCTGTTATTGGCGTATGTCTTACTACATGGGTCCACACAGTGATGGTCCTGTAACTGGTCACACACCTGTCTGTTATTGGCGTATGTCTTACTACATGGGTCCACACAGTGATGGTCCTGTAACTGGTCACACACCTGTCTGTTATTGGCGTATGTCATACTACATGGGTCCACACAGTGATGGTCCTGTAACTGGTCACTAACCATTTGTTATTGACATACATGTCTCACTGTTACTAAAATAAACTACAACAACTCCGAAGACTTCATGCTTTTTTGTTGTTGGTTGTTTGTATAGATGAGCTCAACAAGGCACTGAAGGGCAGGCTAGAATATACGAGAAGCGGCAAGCATGCCTTTTTTGTGGCAGTATGGTTTCCAATGCAGCCAGTGAAATCATTGAAGGTACATGAAGATTTATTGTCCCATTTCTTCCCCACATACAAAATGTATGCAATTGAGCTCTTTCTATTATTTTTAACTTGATCATCTAAGAAAAATGGAATTATATGTAACACAAGCAGGATCAACTTCACGGTGAAGGCCCTATGGCTAAGCGCTCCAAACTGTTATTGGCATATGTCTTACTACATGGGTCCACACAGTGATGGTCCTGTAACTGGTCACACACTATCTGTTATTGGCATTTGTCTTACTACATGGGTCCACACAGTGATGGTCCTGTAACTGGTCACACACCTGTCTGTTATTGGCTTATGTCTTACTACATGGATGCACACAGTGATGGTCTTGTAACTGGTCACACACCTGTCTGTTATTGGCATATGTCTTACTACATGGGTCCACACAAGGATGGTCCTGTAACTGGTCACACACCTGTCTGTTATTGGCATTTGTCTTACTACATGGGTCCACACAGTAATAGTCCTGTAACTGGTCACACGTCTGTCTGTTATTGGCGTATGTCTTACTACATGGGTCCACACAGTGATGGTCCTGTAACTGGTCACACACCTGTCTGTTATTGGCATATGTCTAACAACATGGGTCCACATAGTGATGGTCCTGTGACTGATCACACACCTGTCTGTTTTTGGCATATGTCTTACTACATGGGTCCACACAGTGATGGTCCTGTGACTGGTCACACACCTGTCTGTTATTGGCATTTGTCTTACTACATGGGCCACACAGTGATGGTCCTGTAACTGGTCACACACCTGTCTGTTATTGGCATATGTCTTACTACATGGGTCCACACAGTGATGGTCCTGTGACTGGTCACACACCTGTCTGTTATTGGCATATGTCTTACTACATGGGTCCACACAGTGATGGTCCGGTAACTGGTCAAACACCTGTCTGTTATTGGCATATGTCTTACAAAATGGGTCCACACAGTGATGGTCCTGTGACTGATCACACACCTGTCTGTTATTGGCATATGTCTTACTACATGGTTCCACACAGTGATGGTCCTGTAACTGGTCACACACCTGTCTGTTATTGGCATATGTCTTACTACATGGGTCCACACAGTGATGGTCCTGTAACTGGTCACACACCTGTCTGTTATTGGCGTATGTCTTACTACATGGGTCCACACAGTGATGGTCCTGTAACTGGTCACACACCTGTCTGTTATTGGCGTATGTCTTACTACATGGGTCCACACAGTGATGGTCCTGTAACTGGTCACACACCTGTCTGTTATTGGCGTATGTCATACTACATGGGTCCACACAGTGATGGTCCTGTAACTGGTCACTAACCATTTGTTATTGACATACATGTCTCACTGTTACTAAAATAAACTACAACAACTCCGAAGACTTCATGCTTTTTTGTTGTTGGTTGTTTGTATAGATGAGCTCAACAAGGCACTGAAGGGCAGGCTAGAATATACGAGAAGCGGCAAGCATGCCTTTTTTGTGGCAGTATGGTTTCCAATGCAGCCAGTGAAATCATTGAAGGTACATGAAGATTTATTGTCCCATTTCTTCCCCACATACAAAATGTATGCAATTGAGCTCTTTCTATTATTTTTAACTTGATCATCTAAGAAAAATGGAATAATATGTAACACAAGCAGGATCAACTTCACGGTGAAGGCCCTATGGCTAAGCGCTCCAAACTGTTATTGGCATATGTCTTACTACATGGGTCCACACAGTGATGGTCCTGTAACTGGTCACACACTATCTGTTATTGGCATATGTCTTACTACATGGGTCCACACAGTGATGGTCCTGTAACTGGTCACACACCTGTCTGTTATTGGCTTATGTCTTACTACATGGATGCACACAGTGATGGTCTTGTAACTGGTCACACACCTGTCTGTTATTGGCATATGTCTTACTACATGGGTCCACACAAGGATGGTCCTGTAACTGGTCACACACCTGTCTGTTATTGGCATTTGTCTTACTACATGGGCCACACAGTGATGGTCCTGTAACTGGTCACACACCTGTCTGTTATTGGCATATGTCTTACTACATGGGTCCACACAGTGATGGTCCTGTGACTGGTCACACACCTGTCTGTTATTGGCATATGTCTTACTACATGGGTCCACACAGTGATGGTCCTGTAACTGGTCACACACCTGTCTGTTATTGGCATTTGTCTTACTACATGGGTCCACACAGTGATGGTCCTGTAACTGGTCACACACCTGTCTGTTATTGGCATATGTCTTACTACATGGGTCCACACAGTGATGGTCTTGTAACTGGTCACACACCTGTCTGTTATTGGCATATGTCTTACTACATGGGTCCACACAAGGATGGTCTTTTAACTGGTCACACACCTGTCTGTTATTGGCATTTGTCTTACTACATGGGTCCACACAGTGATGGTCCTGTAACTGGTCACACACCTGTCTGTTATTGGCATATGTCTTACTACATGGGTCCACACAGTGATGGTCCTGTAACTGGTCACACACCTGTCTGTTATTGGCATATGTCTTACAATTTGGGTCCACACAGTAATGGTCCTGTAACTGGTCACACACCTGTCTGTTATTGGCATATGTCTTACTACATGGTTCCACACAGTGATGGTCCTGTAACTGGTCACACACCTGTCTGTTATTGGCATATGTCTTACTACATGGGTCCACACAGTGATGGTCCTGTAACTGGTCACTAACCATTTGTTATTGACATACATGTCTCACTGTTACTACATTAAACTACAACTCCGAAGACTTCATGCTTTTTTGTTGTTGGTTGTTTGTATAGATGAGCTCAACAAGGCACCGAAGGGCAGGCTAGAATATACGAGAAGCGGCAAGCATGCCTTTTTTGTGGCAGTATGGTTTCCAAGGCAGCCAGTGAAATCATTGAAGGTACATGAAGATTTATTGTCCCATTTCTTCCCCACATACAAAATGTATGCAATTGAGCTCTTTCTATTTTTTTTAACTTGATCATCTTAGAAAAATGGAATTATATGTAACACAAGCAGGATCAACTTCACGGTGAAGGCCCTATGGCTAAGCGCTCCAAACTGTTATTGGCATATGTCTTACTACATGGGTCCACACAGTGATGGTCCTGTAACTGGTCACACACTATCTGTTATTGGCATATGTCTTACTACATGGGTCCACACAGTGATGGTCCTGTAACTGGTCACCCACCTGTCTGTTATTGGCTTATGTCTTACTACATGGATGCACACAGTGATGGTCTTGTAACTGGTCACACACCTGTCTGTTATTGGCATATGTCTTACTACATGGGTCCTCACAAGGATGGTCCTGTAACTGGTCACACACCTGTCTGTTATTGGCATATGTCTTACAACATGGGTCCACACAGTGATGGTCCTGTGACTGATCACACACCTGTCTGTTTTTGGCATATGTCTTACTACATGGGTCCACACAGTGATGGTCCTGTGACTGGTCACACACCTGTCTGTTATTGGCATTTGTCTTACTACATGGGCCACACAGTGATGGTCCTGTGACTGGTCACACACCTGTCTGTTATTGGCATATGTCTTACGACATGGGTCCACACAGTGATGGTCCTGTAACTGATCACACCTGTCTGTTATTGGCATATGTCTTACTACATGGGTCCACACAGTGATGGTCCTGTAACTGGTCACACACCTGTCTGTTATTGGCATTTGTCTTACTACATGGGTCCACACAGTGATGGTCCTGTTACTGGTCACACACCTGTCTGTTATTGGCATATGTCTTACTACTTGGGTCCACACAGTGATGGTCCTGTAACTGATCACACACCTGTCTGTTTTTGGCATAGTACTTACTACATGGGTCCACACAGTGATGGTCCTGTAATTGATCACACACCTGTCTGTTTTTGGCATATGTCTTACTACATGGGTCCACACAGTGATGGTCCTGTAACTGGTCACTAACCATTTTTTATTGACATACATGTCTCACTGTTACTACAATAAACTACAACAACTCAAAAGACTTCATGCTTTTTTGTTGTTGGTTGTTTGTATAGATGAGCTCAACAAGGCACCAAAGGGCAGGCTAGAATATACGAGAAGCGGCAAGCATGTCTTTTTTGTGGCAGTATGGTTTCCAAGGCAGCCAGGCACATGAAAGATGTGCACGCTGGTGAGTCTGAGGTGAAACATGCAAAGGCCAAGGAGCCCAAGTCAACTAACAGGCGACATACTGTTGAATTTGAGAGGCTCCGTTTGAAAGGGAATTTCTACCATAATATGGAGGTGCTGTCAACTGGTGTGGGTCAGATCATCGTTGCCAGAAATCCAATCCTCAGATTGCTCCAATCCTCAGAAAGCCCACAAAATAAGAAAAGAATTGTTCAAATCCCCCCCCTAAAAAAAAAAAAAGGACATAAAGTACCCAATTTTTTGGCCCCACCCAATTTCAAGTGGATTTGAATGCTCCGAAAGGCGTGTATTTGATTGCAGTGCAGAAACGTCTGTCTGTTTTGAATTTTAAACAGTGCGTCTGAAAATACGTAAGCCATGGACAGGAGAAGAGAAACAGGCGATCTACCAGCACCTCAGGGGACACATACGGAAAAATCAACTGCCAGGTAAAGCAGTCTGCGAAAGTGTGATAGCAGCACATCCCCGAACATCCCCGATTTTTTTAAATTTTTTTTTTTTTTTATACTTTCCAATGGCCTCCTGTGAATGTGATAAAATCTGATGCCCCAGTATGAGTTTTCTTTTATTTTGTGGATCATTCATAAGAGATGAGTAGTTACTGGTCTTTTTAAGTCTCCAGTTGGAGGTTTAGTGATTTGTGACAAGAAACTTGATAGGTTTATGCTTTTTCGATCAGTCTTAAGAGAGGAATTTTTTAAGTAGTGCCTGATCTCTCTAAGTCTGCAGATGGAGATTTATGTAGGTGCGACAACTCCGATACCCCCAGAACATGAGTTTTCTTTTACACTCCTGTCTGTTATTGGCATATGTCTCACTACATGGGTCCACACAGTCATGGTCCTGTGACTGGTCACAGACCTGTCTGTTTGGTTTCCAAGGCAGCCAGGCACATGAAAGATATGCACGCTGATGAGTCTGAGGTAAAACATGCCAAGGCCAAGGAGCCCAAGTCAACTAACAGGCGACCTACTGTTGAATTTGAGAGGCTCCGTTTGAAAGGGAATTTCTACCATAATATGGAGGTGCTGTCAACTGGTGTGGGTCAGATCATCGTTGCCAGAAATCCTCCCTTCGGTCAAGAGGTCCAATCTTCAGATAACCTGCCATGCCCATTTTGCATGTTCCGTCGGCAATGGTCCATCATCAGATATCCATGGTGGTAAGGGGTGACAAGTTAATACTGGCCTTCGGTAGGAATCTGATGGCAAAGGTTTGACCTGGGAAAGCTCAGTACGTATTAATTGTATTGGACAGTTTGAAACATGGGAATGTTTCTTTTTTGGGGGAGTAGCTGAATTAAACCTAAATGTTACAGGCATTTTTAGTTTAATTTGGCAATATTCATGTGTATGTTATCCTATTGTATTGAAGGGGATAAGAGTTTCTTTGGGTTTACCAGAATTTGGAACTATCCTCTAGTTAACGGATGTATTGCTTATTGTATCATATTTGTTTAGTCATTCAACTAAGTCATTCTTTTTCTGGTGCCATTTGATTTGTTTCTGGTGCCATTTGATTTGTATACAGACTCGACCTGGTACAGATAAGGGGAAAGAGAGGTCGCGCAGTGCCTGTGCTTCTGACCAGTGGAAGTCTTGATGGAAAACCGTGAAGCAGTTGGGGCGCATAATGCGAATCCCTATATATTTGCTCGCCCCCGAAACTCCTTGAAACAAGTGAGAGGATGGGATTGCCTAACTGCTGTTGCCAAGCAGGCTAATCTGCAAGAGCCTCCTGCAGAAACGAGCACAAAGCTGAGAAAGTATGTTGCAACGGTGTCTCAGATTATAGACCTAAACAGCAATGCGCTCGACTGGCTAGCAAGGCACCTGTGCCACGACATAACTGTCCACAGGGACTTCTACCGCCAACACGAGTCGACACTAGAGCTTGCGAAAGTCAGCAAGCTACTTCTTGCTGTAGACAAAGGCAAGATAGCAAAACTGTCTGGCCGAAAACTTGATGATATTGATTTGGAAGGTAAGGAACCATTAGGTGCATTAATTAGGATTCCCATACTGTGACCTGGGACTTTTCTGGGAATATGGATGGACCTGAGATATTTGCATATTATTGCAAATATGTTTTTCCTTTTAAATTGTGGTTTCATTTTGAAATATGACAAAAGTGTTCAAAAGCCCAAATTGACACTAAAGTTTGTAGTCCAGAGTGACGATAAGATTCAACAATCTGAATAGGCAATAAAAAGTGATATTTTAAATTTCTATTTATTGGCCCTAATTCATTTTAGAATAATTAGTCTTTGGACAGTAGAAACCTTGTTTTCCATTTGGACAATCGGTCCTTCAGGTAATTAATTGGACTAAATTTGGACTACCAAAGCTTTTGACTGTAATGAAATTTAGGACTAAAGAACCTTAAACACTGTTGTATCAAATGATCAGATAAAAGAACCTTAGTTTATTTTTGGACCAATAACCCCCCCGGTAGATTGGGGCTTTGGACTATTTGGCAGACCACTACACAAATGTATGGTGTTTACCTTGGAATAATTTCGGGAAGAATGCTGTTTTGAAGTTCATGTCCTGTTGAAAAGTGGAAAACAGAGAAAGTGCCAGTTTTAGAAGAGCAAATGTCCACAAAGGGACCTAATATCTGAACAAATCGTCGAAGATACTTTATTATAGTTATATTAATATGTTCTGGATTTAAAAATCATCAAGTTAAAAATTAGCCCACAGCATTTTGGGCCCTTTTTCCATTCAACCTGTTCCAAGGTGCATCATCTTTTGTACGAGAAGGTCACATTTTACCTCCTTCGAATGATTCTTTCCAATGCCCACTGTCTATTCCTACATTATGTTTAATAAGAGCCTTCAAAGGGTATTATATGCCACTAATACCAAAGGACAACTTTTATTCTATTTCAAGGTGTTTTGGCTGATGAATCATCAAGTGAAGAGGAGGATGCAGGTACGTAAAATAATTTTGTTATCAGATTGAGATTGCAGATTAATTTTCATAGAATAATTGAGGTATGTGTGGGGGGGGGGCGCATTATACATTTACAGTTGCAGGTTTATACATGTCCACATTCTCTTGTGTTTAAAAACATCATAAATACATAGCCATAAACTAATACCTGGGACAGTTTAGCGGTTCCTATTAGTCGAGAGGCTGCCATGTGCGGGTGTTTTCAGCAAGGTTTTAAAACACTCTGCTAGTGTCTCGCTAAATGTGGAATTTTGTGGGAAAATGCCCATGCGGATTTATTGGTTGAAATTTGACACGCACCAGTAGTACGCATGGGAGATGTTACCAGTGAACCCTTTATGTATGAGTCATATTCACAAGTCACTATCGCTGCTGCCTATCGCCTAACATCACACCACATCACGTGTCAATTCCATAATCATGAGTAAATAGTTAGTGCTACTCACACGAGGTGCAAACCATTAATAGCTGGAATCAAGTTTGAAAGAAAATAAAAGTTTCAAACAAAATCACTGGAAAATTGAAATTATATATATGTTTTGACACTTGACCGAAGACAGTATTTATTTTATTTATTCCTGAGAGAGTGATATATTTTGGAAAATGTAAAAAAAACTTTGCGATTCATGATTTCTTGCCTTAATTTGTTTCAATTGACGCAAATGTTTGCAAAGACCCGTCATCAGGTGGCAGGAAGCTGGGCGCCCAGCAGGTAAGGTTCTGCTTATTTTCTTTCCTCTGGATCTGTTACTGATCTTCATTTTTCACAAGTAGATGAGTTCACTTTATAAAATTGAATTGAATGGGATAGTTGTTTAAATAAGTGGGGGGAGTGGAATAAATTAACATTAAAAAGTGTCGACTCGACGAAATTCTAAATTTCCAGTGTGAAAAACAGTAGCTTCCATTTCACAATTTAAAGCCGTTTAATATTGTTTTATATATACAGATCCTTGTGCTTATTCAAATAGCCCCTTCATGAATGTGACGTTACCGCAAGACAGGTGCAGTGCGCAAATTCCTTGCGCGCTTTGTCACGTAACTCTTTGTGACGCCATTTCTTATAAACGCCAAGTTGCCTATTCAACTTCATTCTCGGTTGAGCAACCTTATCTCGCTGACATGCGCATTTTGTTCTCCGTGCAATATGAATCCTAACCTGATAATGCAAATCAAGAGATACTATCGGCCATCAGATCGTTGGCTAACTCGATAGACAGTAAAGTAGATTCAGCCTTTAAGAGGCAGCGTACCCTTGCCCGACAGTCCACCAGACTTTAAAAGCGACGGTAACAAGGACCAGTTTCGCCACGAAGAAAAGCTCTCCAGCCTAATTGACTCGGCCTTAGCATCGTTAGACGCCGGAGACGTCAACGCAGCCAGAGAGGCCCTCAAGCAAGCCAGCATTGAAATCAAACAGCGGCAGAAGCTGATCAGGTTGGCCGATCGTTCTTCCCAAGGTTGGGCCACGGTTAAAGAATACGTCACCGACAATTAAGCCGACGACTCGGACGATGAGAAACGACTCAGAAAGGCGGAGAAAATGGCGACCAGCAAGAAATCAGAAGCCGCTAAGAAGTCCAAGGCCAAGGCTCGCAATCCTGTACGTCCTTACCCTGCTGCGAGTTCTTTTCGTACCTACAGCCGGTACACATATCGTCAAGATTTCCGGTCCTGTTTCCAGTGCGGAATCGCAGGACATATCCGATCCAACTGCCCCTCTCTTCGGGCCCTCCAACAGCCTCAGTGCCGGTCACAACCTTCAGCCACTGATACCACCACAGCATAGGGACTGGGAAGAGCAGGACTCAACTACTCCTGTCCCATCCGGTGTAAAGGGTAAGCTGAAACCTCGCTTCTTATTTTGGCGAGACATACTTAAGTGTAGTATTTTTGTACAAGAGGTTATTTCAGATGGATACAAGATTCCATTTTATGTCACTCCTCCTCTTGCTGTTTTGTCAAACAATAAGTCAAGTCTATCCCATGCACAATTTGTGGAAACTGCCATCGCGGATTTGCTCGCAAAGAATTGTATCACGCAATGCACTGTTACCCCATACTGCTGCAATCCTTTGACTGTCGCAGAAGGTAAAAAGTTGCGATTAGTGCTTGACCTACGACACCGGAATAAGTACATTTGGAAAGAGAAATTCAAGTACGAAGATCCCACCACATCGCTCCGTCACTCGATTACAATCAGTACTACTTTTCTTTTGATCTTGAGTTGGGTTACCATCACGTCGATATCTTCCCATCTCATCAAAAATATCTTGGTTTCTCTTGGCATCATAACGATTCAGTCACCCGATATTATACCTTTACTGTTCTTCTTTTCGGTTTAAGTAGCGCCTGTCACTTATTCACCAAATTAAACAGGCCTATAGTGCACCATTGCCATCAAAACGGTATCGTGGCCCATATGTACATCGACGACGGACTCATTGTCTCCCCCGACTTTGAGTCAGCTTCTGCCAATGTTTCCTTTGTGCGCAACCTCATAACCTGCAGCGGATTCGTTCCTAGCAAAACAAAATGTGTCTGGTCACCCACTAAAACAATTCAGTACTTGGTTCATACCATCAACTCCGACGCATTTCGCTTTCAGGTACCACAAAGCAAAATTCACAAGATTCTCACGTTCATTTCATCCGTGCTGGATTCCCACCAGTCCAACCAAGCCATTCCCGTACGAGACTTAGCGCGATTTACCGGTCACATAATTTCATCCTCATTAGCACTCGGTCCAGTCGCTAGATTTAAGACACGTTTGTTGCTACCGCGCCATTGATTCGCGTCACTCTTGGTCCGATTCATTTGTTCTCCCTGCTGACGCCGTTTCGGAACTCAGCAATTACAGTCCCTGAATGGTTTTACCATACGAGGCAGGCTAGTCCACTCTTTGACTATCTATTCCGATGCAAGCGACACGGGCTACGGTGGTTACGTCGAAGGTCACCCTTACTTTTAAGTACACGGTACCTGGGTCCTTATTCACAAAGCACCCGTAAATGCTTGCGGGCGCGCAACTTCCCCGCAACCCTCACTTAAGCACTTGCGGGTTATTCACGAAGCCCCCTTAAATCTGCGTGTGCCCGTAAACCACCCGTAAATTTGCGGGACCTCCAGACGTCCCACAAGCACACCATAACTTGCGTGGATCATCTCGATTGTCACAATGGCGGCACTCTTGGCATGTATTTTGGATCTACGAACTGAATCGACGTGCCGGTTCATCTTCCATGACCGGTTGAACCAACTATAGGATGAGTTAAAAAGAAAGTGACCGAATTTGGAAAATGTGTTCAAAATATTTGGCGCGTTCCATTTTCATGGGCGTCAATCGGTGGGGGACAAGTCCTCCCCCACTTTTTTTTTTTTAAGTGGCGGATATCATATCGTTGCCCCCCCCCCCCCCCCCCACTTTTTCTATCCCCGAATAAAAGTTGTAGCCTTCCTTAATGATTCTATAGTAGCTGATTCAATGACTCCAAACTCAAAAAATGATGTTTAAAAGATTATCTTTTGCCCACAAAAGTGGTTTGAGTGCTCAGAAATTGCCTCAGATCGCACCACAGAGCAAGCATCTAGAATCCAAAAACTTTCGGGGCCCGCTCCATGCCGTAATAGGTATGTCCTCCACTTTTGGGAAGCGACTGCCGCCCTTTGTATTTTTTTATGGGACGAAATACATCTTATGGGATTTTAAGTGTGAACATTTCACTTAAATTGCACAGTCTAATCCTAAGTTATGTCTGTTTCAATAAAACGATCACAAACTTGTTTACCATTCATCACGTGATGCAAACTGAACACCCATTGAGTACAATGAAACGTGGACTTTCCCACCTCCACTGAATGAACGAGAGCATGGGAAAGGATACAAAAATCACCATCAATAAAAAAAAAAATAGAGCTAACTTGTTTCTTATATATTGAAAGCACACATTCTGACAGTGGTTTCTGTCTTGAGTTCAATTATTAAAGGGAACCTGCAAAAAGATTTGTATGACTTAAATAGATTTAAAACAAATTTCTTGCCATGTTACTATGACTTTCAACCTTCTTTTGTAGTAGTAAAAGGGAGAAATTTCAACATTTCAATTTTTATGCTATTGAAAATGTCCATATTCATGAGCCACAGCGTGATATCATTCAAAGCAGAACAAAAGTGTCTCTACAGCTTTGTGTATCTATCAAACTTTCTTTATTTTCTTGCAGTAAGTTCCACTTTTTACTTGCTTATCATGTTAAACAGCTTGTTTGGACACTAGCAGTTGCCACTAGTTTTTTCGAAGCTTTTTTTTTGTGGGTAACTTTGAAGGAATTATGTTTGTACTGTTCATATGCACTTTTGACAAGGAGTTTCTTGTGCGACAAAAGCAAAATGGCGCCCATTACATGCGATTGTATTTGATGAAAGGATTTGCTAACAATTGAAAAACTACCACTTTCTTGTCACTTCCAACGAAAACAAGTATTACGATCTTGTATGTATTGTTGTGACACATAATAATGTGCAAGAGAACAAGATGAGCTGAATTTCCACTGCGTGTTTCCTTTAAAGTCTTGTTGGCATTTTAAAGTTTGTCTGTAATATGATTCTCACTAAACTCAATAGCTTCCAATGACATTCAAGGACAGCTATAAAAATGGGCTACGTTTGTAACACATGCATAACTTCTGAAAGCATTGGTAAATTTTAGTGATTCATTTTTAATTTTCTTTAAATGAGTGGAAGAACATGCTCTTAAAGACATGCTTGATTGGTGTTGATTGTTTGCTAAGAAAACAAAGACAAGTTAATCTTTAATCGACTCTGCCTGTAATTTTTACAACGAGCAAGAACTCTGAAATGGGATAAAATGTCTTGGCATGTGTTTTTTTTATGTTCAACCAATTAGTTGCGAGTGCCCGCAACATGCGGGTCCACTAAGGGAACTCTAAGGGTGCTTCGTGAATACCACTTAACGCAAGTCTTACGTGCCCTTAACTTCCACTTACGGGTCCCCGCAACGCAAACATTTACGGGTGCTTTGTGAATAAGCACCCTGGTCCCCAGTAGAGCAACGAAAAAGTTCTACTTGGCGCGAACTAGCCGCAGTAAGTCACGTACTTAAGCAGTTGCAAAAAGCAGTGACGGGCCAGAACGTCAAATGGTTTACCGACAATTCCAGTGTCCCAATTATCATTCAGTGTGGCAGCCCCAAACCCAACTTGCATGAACTCGCAAAATCAATATTTCACATGGCCGACGAATTCAATTGCGTCTTGTTACCCGAGTGGCTACCTTGAAACGAGAACAAACTCGCCGATGAAATCATTCGATTTCAAGACTTCGACGACTGGTCTATCGACCGGGGATCATTTCGGTTTATAGATAGTCTATGGGGTCCTCGCACTATTGACCGTTGCGCCATCAACCATAACGCTAAATTCACGCGGTTTAACTCAAGGTTTTGGTGTAAAGGCGTGGCTGAAGTCGATGCATTCTCTCAGAATTGGTCGGGCGAAATTAATTATTTTTGTCCTCCAGTATCCTTGATTATACAGGTCTTCAAAAGAATTCTCTCTGACAATGCCACCGGCACATAAGTCGTACCACACTGGCCCACGTCTTCCTTCTGGCCAATCATTTGCCCAGATGGCATACATTTCCATAGTAGGGTGGTCGATTGGAGATGGATGAATATTTCATTCAGTCCGTCTTCCTTGGGGACAAGTTCAGTGTTTTGCCAAACCCCATCATTCGCTTCCATAGCGATTCATTTTGATCCCTCATTAGCGCGACACACATGGTTAAGACTAGGCACTTGCCCTCAGCGCGACTCTCGCCCGTGAGTACTGTTTGCGTATTTAAGCGGACTTCGTTCCGCAATTTTCTACACGGCCATTCCTGGTCGATGCCAATTTGCGAGCATCAAGTGTAAAAGTATGGTTTATCGTTGTTGGTACAGTAAAACATGATACTGCGACCCGTTTATTGGTCTGATTGCATACTTAATGCATTTTGTGTAGTATATTACATTTTTGTATTGTTTTGAGATTCCCATATCGTTTTTCCTTTCCACCTTTTTTGGCGTTCTCAGCGTGGTAGGCGGCTCTTTCTACCAATAGTACTCCAAAATTGTGTACTTGTGTTCTTATTACTCTTCACATGATGAAGATATAGTAAAAAAAAAAGAATTTTCTTTCGGAAGAATGAAGAAAGAAAATATATTTTTTTAACTTCCATTGCCAAAACTTACAAGCATTATTTGCACACAAAAATGGTTTGGATTAGCCGAATTGTTTACTGTCCTTCAGGTAATAAATTGGACTAAATTTGGACTACCAAAGCTTTTGACTGTAATGAAATTTAGGACTAAAGAACTTCAAACACTGTTGTATCAAATGATGAAATAAAAGAACCCTAGTTTATTTTTGGACCAATAACCCCCGGTAGATTGGGGCTTTGGACTATTTGGCAGACCACTACACAAACCTATTGCGTTTACCTTGAAATAATTTCGGGAAGGAGGCTGCCATGTGCGGGTGTTTTCTGCAAGGTTTTAAAACACTCTGCCTAGTGTCTCGCTAAATGTGGAATTTTGTGGGAAAATGCCCAAACCGATTTACTGGTTGAAATTTGACACGCACCAGTAGTACGCATGGGAGATGTTACCAGTGAACCCTTTATGTATGAGTCATATTCACAAGTCACTATCGCTGCTGCCTATCGCCTAACATCACACCACATCACGTGTCAATTCCATTATTATGAGGAAATAGTTAGTGCTACTCACACGAGGTGCAAACCATTAATAGCTGGAATCAAGTTTGAAAGAAAATAAAAGTTTCAAACAAAATCACTGGAAAATTGAAATTATATATATGTTTTGACACTTGACCGAAAACAGTATTTATTTGATTTATTCCTGAGAGAGTGATATATTTTGGAAACGTGATGATTTCTCTTCTAATAGATCAGACATGTTTCCGAAAACGTAAAAAAAACTTTGCAATTCAAAATTTCTTGCCTAAATTTGTTTCAATTTACTCAGATGTTTGCAAAGACCCGTCATCAGGTGGCAGGAAGCTGGGCGCCCAGCAGGTAAGGTTCTGCTTATTTTCTTTCCTTTGGATCTGTTACTGATCTTCATTTTTCACAAGTAGATGAGTTCACTTTTATAAAATTGAATTGAATACCCATTCAATTCAAATTGAATGGGTATTCAAATAAACTTTTACAAAAACTTTTTAAACAATTTATTTTACCTCTCCCCCCCCCCCCCCCCCCTGCTTATTTAAACAACTAAGTGGGGGGAAGAAGTGAATAAATTTACATTAAAAAGTGTTTTTTAAAGGGCAAGCCAGGCACGTCAACTGCGGGCACGGTATTTTTGGAATTTTTTTTTTTTTTTTTAATTAATGTTAAGCAAACAATTTAAAATCATGAAAGCATGTTACCAATGAAGGATCTGGGGGCAAAAGGGACCAAACCTCCCAGCCCTCCCCCTGCCAAGAATGAAAGAAAAAAAAAGCAAAAACACAGGAAAAAAAGAAATGCTTTGGAAATTTCACGAAAAAGAGACATTTTCATTTCCCATCCTTCAAAGCCACACAAGCTCAGATATAGAAATTTCAGATTCCCCCCCCCCCAAAAAAAACCCAAAACACAATGAAAAAAACAAAATCTAAAATTGATGCCCAAACACCCAAAATAAGTGTGCTGGTTTCCCCTTTATTTCCATGTATTTCCTCCCCCAATCCAGCAATTTATTTTCATGTCATTCCTTTGACAGCTAAAAAGTTACAAATGGAGCCCAAAAAGCCTAGTAGTCATGGTCGCACAAAGGTCATGGCTACTACATTTTTAAAAAATGACTTGAAGATTTACAAATATTTTAGTCAAAGCAATTAGTTTGCAAATTACTGATGGTTTCAATATCCCAGAGCACTACGCGTGTATGTCGTGTGAAACCTATTGTACCTTTCATTTCCTGTTTGTATTGATGTAATACGGTACCATGTGCACACTTCACAACACTGGTCTTTCTACGTTGTTGTTTTTTAAGGGGAAGCCAAGCACATCAACTGCAGGTCTTTCATTTTTCATTTTTATTTTTTATAACATTCAACAAAATTTCAAAAGCACAAAGCAATGTTGTAGGGATGGGGCGCAACAGGGGCCATGAAGCAACAGGGGCCATGAAGCCTCTTCCTTCCACCTTCCCTTTTGCTGAGAAAAAAAAATCAAGAATCAAAAACACAGACAAAATAAGAAACTTTAATGAAAAAAGCATGACTGGGTGGGGATAATTTTAATTTCCCATCCTTTTGTGTGCAGTCCAATCCTCAGATTGCTCCAATCCTCAGAAAGCCCACAAAATAAGAAAAGAATTGTTCAAATCCCCCCCCCCCCTAAAAAAAAAAAAACAGGACATAAAGTACCCAATTTTTTGGCCCACCCAATTTCAAGTGGATTTGAATGCTCCGAAAGGCGTGTATTTGATTGCAGTGCAGAAACGTCTGTCTGTTTTGAATTTTAAACAGTGCGTCTGAAAATACGTAAGCCCATGGACAAGGAGAAGAGAAACAGGCGATCTACCAGCACCTCGGGGGACACATACGGAAAAATCAACTGCCAGGTAAAGCAGTCTGCGAAAGTGTGATAGCAGCACATCCCCGAACATCCCCGAGATTTTTTTTTAATATTTTTTTTTATACACTTTCCAATGGCCTCCTGTGAATGTGATAAAATCTGATGCCCCAGTATGAGTTTTCTTTTACTTTGTGGATCATTCATAAGAGAAGAATGAGTAGTTACTGGTCTTTTTAAGTCTCCAGTTGGAGGTTTAGTGATTTGTGACAAGAAACTTGATAGGTTTATGCTTTTTCGATCAGTCTTAAGAGAGGAATTTTTTAAGTAGTGCCTGATCTCTCTAAGTCTGCAGATGGAGATTTATGTAGGTGCGACAACTCCGATACCCCCAGAACATGAGTTTTCTTTTACTTTTGGATCATTCATAAGAGAAGAACAAGTAGTATGGTCTATCTAATTCTGTGATTGGTTTATTGGAAGTAGCTAACTGCCTTGTCCCTACATTTAAGTCTATAGTTGAAGTTTCAACTAATATCTGATAGCCAGGAATGTGATATCTTTTTTGGGACTTTTTGATCACTCATCATAAGAGAAGAACCTGAGGAGTAGCTAATGGCCTGCTGAGTCTGCTCTTGAAGGTTATTATTGATTAATGACAGAAATCTTGAATGCCCAGAACTTGATTTGCTTTTTGACTGTTTGGATCAATCATAAGAGAGTAGTGCTTCTTGTTCCCTCTAATTCTTCGGTTTGAGATTAAGTGATGTGTGATCATCTGATTCCCCAGAACATGAGTTTTCATAAAAGAAAAATATTCCGCTTGGAAGTCTTTTGATTTGTGACATGTTTTGATGGCCCAGAACTTGAATTTGTCCTTTCTTTTATATCATAAATACGAGAAGAAACGTATTGTTAGGTAACAGTTTCGTCTCGACATGTAAGTTTATTGTTCTATAGTTGGCGTTCAACTGATAGCTTAGAAATCTGATAGCCAGGGACATGATTGGTTTTGGACTTTTTGGATCAATCTTAGGAGAACCGTATGAGTAGCTAATAACCTGTTAAGTATGTAGTTGGAGGTTTAGTGATTTGTGATACAAATTTTAATAACCCAGAACTTGATTTGCTTTGTGACTGTTTCAACCAATCATAAGAGAGGAATCTTATGAGTAGTGCCTGGTGTTCTAAGACTGCAGTTGGAGATTTAGTGATGTGTGACAAATATCCTGATACATAATAGCCAAGAACATGATTCACTTACACTTTATCAATCACAAGAGAAGAATGAGTAGTTGTTGTCATTTTCTCCAAGTATTTGGGTGATATGTGAAAGATCTCATTATAGCCAAAACTTGATTTCTTTCTTTTTTGCAGTACTCGGACGTATTTGAGTAGGGCTGTGAAATTGTTTGAGAAAATTGTTAATAACTATTGTTGCAGATTTTTCTTTGAATTGCTCATAAACGAAATATCTTCAATTTAACGCCTGGTTCATTCGATTTAGGTTGAAATTGAAGATCACGCAGATCGGCATTCGACAATCAAAATGATTCATTCTATTTCACTATACAAGCATTCTAACGCATTTTAGCTTCACTCGTCCCTATCAAAGATGCATTCATATTAAAAGTATCGAGTTGTTCATTCAATTTCATCTAAACCATTAGTAAGGAGTTGATCGGGCATTCGTTTTCATTAATGGGCAAACATATTTCACATTTTGTCAAACATCTTTTAAGACTTCATACGTGTCTGTATTCCTAAGCTTAAATCATTTGATGACTTCAAACCGTAGACTGACTTTCTTTCTTACTTAAAGGGTATGTGCAATGAATTTTTCTGAGGAATTCTTTTGCGCAACTTTGTGAAATGTAGGAAAACTACACATTTAATAACACTCTTTGTGTTAATCTGATTTTGCAAATGTGCACTTCTTTAAATTTAAAAGTTTCCATGCTTTTCCGGACTAACGCTGTTAAATGTGATGTCATTTCAGGAAGACACTGTTCAGTTAAGGGTTTTTTCTTTCAAATTATTCATACAAAATTTGCTAATTGAAAACATTTGTGGGAAAGGGTTGGTCATTGTCTTACTGCCATGTACTGACACATCATTATAATCATCACAGGTTTTCTAATGAATATGAAACTTTGCATTAGCATAAAAACGGAGAAGGCACCAAAACCTCAAAATAGAAAATAAAACTTGCAAATAAGGTTAAATGTGACAAAAAGATGTATTTTCAAGGTCAATCAAAGTTGACCTATCAAAGAATTATGTCAAGGTTTCCTTATTGATAAAGTTGTTGCGAAGTAGTAGTTTTTGCAGTTTTGAAAACGGAGATACTTTTGCAAGTAATTTTACGTCAAATGTTACATATCTGTAAAACTAAGTACACTGATTATGTGTAGAATATTATTGAAATGAAGAAGACTCCGTATTGTTCAAAAACTGTGCAAATGCATTCTCGTTTTTTATTCAACGTTCAGCCAATTTTGCAATGTACATTTTTTGACTTGCTTGCTTGTTGGGTTCGATGTGTATATAAGTGAAACAATTGTTCGTTAAAGAGAAAAACAAATGAAATAAAAATCTTTCCCAATAATTTTTTTGTTGTTTGGTAGTCCCGTTATTTTTCAATTGTTTTAATAATTCTTTAAATAAATATAAATGAAATATCTGAAGAATTTTTGTAATACACTTTAACGATATTCAGAATTTTTTTAAAGTTCAAGTTCATCACCAAGTCTTAATAGTGATTTTTTTTTTTAATTGTGCATTTCTAAAGTTTTTTTGATACACATCAAGAAATCTTAACGATTTGTTTAAATTGATTCAAGTTCAAGTTCATCACCAGTTCTTGACGGTGATTTTTTTTTTAAATTGTATGTGCATTCTTTAAATATTTTTTCATCACGAATTTTTCTCCGATTTGTTTTTTTTTTTTCAAGTTCAAGTTCAAAAATAATTGTCTGAATTTCTGAAGAAAATTCGAAATTTTAACGGATTTTTTGTGTGTTTAATCCCTATAGCTACGGTTGATTTTAGATAGACTACTGTTTTCGAGGTGTATGAGGTATCCTAACCATCGTTATCATGGGGCAATCTCATTGGGCCTGAGCCTCGCACAAGAAACATCCAAGCAACGATCCATTTCTGCCTCAATCGTCTCGAATTCCGTCAGATTTGGTTACATTCTACAAGTTCAAGTTCAGAAACTATTCTCTAAATTTCTGAAGAAAATTCGAAATTTTAGCAGATTTTTTTGTGTGTTATCCCCTATAGCTACGGTCGATTTTAGATAGGCTACTGTTTTCGAGGTGTATGAGGCGTAGGGTATCACATCCAATCATCGTTATCATAGCGCAATCTCATTGCCTGAGCCTCGCACAAGAAACATCCAAGCAACGATCCATTTCTGACTCAAACGTCTCGAATTCTGTCAGATTTGGTTACATTCTTCAAGTTCAAGTTCAGAAACTATTCTCTAAATTTCTGAAGAAAATTCATAATTTTAGCAGATTTTTTGTGTGTTATCCCCTAATAGCTACGGTCGATTTTAGATAGGCTACTGTTTTCGAGGTGTATGAGGCGTAGGGTATCACATCCTAACCATCGTTATCATAGCGCAATCTCATTGCCTGAGCCTCGCACAAGAAACATCCAAGCAACGATCCATTTCTGACTCAAACGTCTCGAATTCTGTCAGATTTGGTTACATTCTTCAAGTTCAAGTTCAGAAACTATTCTCTAAATTTCTGAAGAAAATTCATAATTTTAGCAGATTTTTTGTGTGTTATCCCCTAATAGCTACGGTCGATTTTAGATAGGCTACTGTTTTAGAGGTGTATGAGGCGTAGGGTATCACATCCTAACCAATCGTTATCATAGCGCAATCTCATTGCCTGAGCCTCGCACAAGAAACATCCAAGCAACGATCCATTTCTGACTCAAACGTCTCGAATTCTGTCAGATTTGGTTACATTCTTCAAGTTCAAGTTCAGAAACTATTCTCTAAATTTCTGAAGAAAATTTGAAATTTTAGCAGATTTTTTGTGTGTTATCCCCTATAGCTACGGTCGATTTTAGATAGGCTACTGTTTTCGAGGTGTATGAGGCGTAGGGTATCACATCCTAACCATCGTTATCATAGCGCAATCTCATTGCCTGAGCCTCGCACAAGAAACATCCAAGCAACGATCCATTTCTGACTCAAACGTCTCGAATTCTGTCAGATTTTGTTACATTCTTCAAGTTCAAGTTCAGAAACTATTCTCTAAATTTCTGAAGAAAATTTGAAATTTTAGCAGATTTTTTTGTGTGTTATCCCCTATAGCTACGGTCGATTTTAGATAGGCTACTGTTTTCGAGGTGTATGAGGCGTAGGGTATCACATCCTAACCATCGTTATCATAGCGCAATCTCATTGCCTGAGCCTCGCACAAGAAACATCCAAGCAAACGATCCATTTCTGACTCAATCGTCTCGAATTCTGTCAGATTTGGTTACATTCTTCAAGTTCAAGTTCAGAAACTATTCTCTAAATTTCTGAAGAAAATTTGAAATTTTAGCAGATTTTTTGTGTGTTATCCCCTATAGCTACGGTCGATTTTAGATAGGCTACTGTTTTCGAGGTGTATGAGGCGTAGGGTATCACATCCTAACCATCGTTATCATAGCGCAATCTCATTGCCTGAGCCTCGCACAAGAAACATCCAAGCAACGATCCATTTCTGACTCAAACGTCTCGAATTCTGTCAGATTTGGTTACATTCTTCAAGTTCAAGTTCAGAAACTATTCTCTAAATTTCTGAAGAAAATTCATAATTTTAGCAGATTTTTTGTGTGTTATCCCCTAATAGCTACGGTCGATTTTAGATAGGCTACTGTTTTCGAGGTGTATGAGGCGTAGGGTATCACATCCTAACCATCGTTATCATAGCGCAATCTCATTGCCTGAGCCTCGCACAAGA